TATTTAAACTATGGAGTTCTACTCAGCAGCAAAGATGAAATAATGAAATTTGCAGGTAAACGGATGGAGCTAGAAACTGTTATACTGTAAGTGAAGTAACACAGACTCAGAAAAATAAACGATGTATGTTCTCCCTCATATGTGGATCGTAGCATCAAATCATTTTAAATTCCAGGTCCTTTTAATAAGATGATGCTATACAGCAGTCTCTTCTGCATGAAATAACTACCATCATCATGACTTCTGCTAAGCCTGATCACTAAACATCATCACAACTGGGCTTGTTGAAGGTTGTGCTCATTCATTAAAAGAAGGCCAAGTAGGGTCATTGGACCCTCACAGGATTATCCAGCCACTCTTCCCAGCCAACTGTATGTAATTTGACCCTAATCACACATGGCCTCCTGGATTTGGGGAGGGCTAAAGTACACAATCTGTGGAAGGCTAGGAAGAGAAGGCATGACCCATGCTAGGTAAAGGCTTTCCAATGTGCATACCCTCAGGTCATACATACACTTCAGCAACCCCCCCAGTTATCTCGGAAAGTGAGCTCAATAAATTCATTGGTTCCCCAGGAAAACTTTAATCAAACATTGGCTTGACACTAAAACCTTAAAAGGGAATAAGCATTGCTGAGCATCCCCAGGAAAAGAAGTCTCACAACAGATGGAAAATTTATTAGTTAATGCTATTATGTCTCATAATTATTTAAAAAAAAGAAAAAAAGAATGTAAATGATGTTAAAAGGATATGGGAATGGAGATATTTTCCAAAATAGAAAAAATAAGAAAGCCTACACGAGTGATGAAGGTCTGTTTAGGTTTGTTATGATATATGAAGGATGAGACAAAAATAATATAATACACATAATCTTAAAATGTCTATCGTCATAGTTTAGTCAACTAGTTTAAGGAACAAAACATTTATCTAGTCAAGGTTTATCTGGGAATATTTTGTTTTTTACCCAAGCCTTATCTACACAGCACATGATAATTACAAGTACCAGACTGGTGGAACTAACCTTATTGGATGTTTAACAGCTATACTTTGAGGCCTATACTAATGTGGTCACACGGACTTAACGGACAGTTTTTGCCCCTTGCCCTCCAAGGTCAACTAAGTTTCAGGGGACTATGGAACATTTCAAAATGTCCTGTAACTGTGGTGAGTCACCTGTCCTCTTGTTCAGGGAGGCCATGGAGACCCCACGAGATGGACTTGAACCAGTCTCCAGTCTACAAGAGGAGGGTCAACCCAGAGGAAACATCTCATTCATGCTTCCAAGTGAAGCCAGACATGGTCAAGCAGGACCTTTGACTTATCTTCACATAGAGGAACTGGTAAAAGAAAGGAGCCAGGAGCTCCTCCCAACCCCATGTGACCCCTAAGAAATAGATTCTCAAATGACTTTAAGTGTAAAAATAAATTGATTTATTTGGGCCAATTGTATCGTCTTAAACACCCAAAAGGAAAGTATAAACAAAGAGTAAAGTCATCAATATATTTCTTTAAGAGTTCAAGGGATTACACTTCCCAGACATTAGGCTTACATCTATATAAAAGTTATTTAGACAATTATTTCTCATTGATGATTTTGTTCCTAACCAGAAAGTGCTGCTCAGATGTAAGACTTCAAATCTCGGTCTCCAATACTGTAGTGCCCACCTGTAGCTTAGGGAGCCAACCAGCTAGTGTTCTAAAATAATGGATAATGAGAAGGAAGTGACACTGGTGCTAACTACTCCAACACCTATCAAAGTACCTGAAAGTAAATCCTGAATCCATCACTCCAGAGTCAAGCCTTGGAAGACAAAAGAAAAATGAGGAAGAATCCAATAGAAGGATGC